TATATAATAATAATAATATATATATATATATATATAATAATAATAATATATATATATATATATATATATATATATATATATATATGCTTATACAAATATAAATATAAATTTAAACATATATATACCGCACATACTATATAACACATTTTAAATATGTTTACACACAAACACACACACACATATATGTATATATATATGGTCAATACTGGACACCGTGCAGTGGTCAGTGGTTACTATAGATTGTGATAGTAATCATCGCGATCCTCACTGTCACGCACACCTATGGTGCATCCTCACCAGCACAATTACTAATATATAATTCAAAAGACAAGCAGATGTGCAGATAGTTGGACGTAGTAGTGTTGACATGAACAAGGACAAGGAAACAAATCCTCAATTGTATACTTACCGAACGAAACCTTCATATTTGGTGTAGTATGTCAGGGTTATCTGGAACAGCTATCCTTTAACATGAAATTTTATTGATGTATGAATATGAACGCTTGAGGGCGAATTGCAGACTCTATATATTGTTCGTACAATGAAGTATCGTATAAAAAAACGGTCTACTGTATATTATGTATCGACTTAACCTACAGTAGTAACTGTTTACAGTACGGGTCAATCTGTGGATCTATGGCAAAGTGTCACATGAAAGTCTGTTTGTACAGTCCGCACAAAAAGACATTATTTTCAATTGTCACCTCTTCCTTTCATTAAAAACATATTAAATAATTTAGAATAATTTAAAACATATTTGCGACATATATTTCTGATAATTTCTGATATCTTTCTACATCCAGATTTCGTCAGTTTTGAAGCAAAATACTTCAGCAACCTTTTGGTAAGCGATATAAACCTATTTAAAAACCTACATGTACTATGTTTGAAACTAGCTGATCCTGCGGATAAATGTTCCAATTTCGTAGACACTTCTTTCTTTTGCACACATTCATCACTATTCTTCAACTTTCAGCAGGCGATTTATACGAATTTACGTTACTATGGTAAACATTTATGAACTTATTGTTAAAAATACAATGAGTTGTCTTTTTTTTACTTGAAAACAAGGTGTATAACAACAGGTTAAGATGCGCCGATGTGGATTCAAAATCTGTATTGATACTCTTGAACTAATGTACCAGATTGTAGCTATGTATCAACTTAATAGAGCATATATATTGCACCCATGGTGGCCTTGTAGATTGTGTTTTCTGAGATGCAATCCTGTTTGTAGACTTATGTTTGTAGCAACGGTTAATATGTACGAATAGAAGTAGTGCAGCTTAAGAACATACATACATCTATACAATCAAACAATCAAACAAACACTCACACACACGCACACACACACATATATATATATGTATATATATGTATACATATAAATACATACATACACACACACGCATATATATATATATATATAATGCATACTTGCGTATATACACACATACACACATACACACATTTATAAATACGTACATACATACGTATATACATACATGGATAGATACATACACACATACATTCAACATATATACAGTCGCCGTGCTTGGATTACGAGGTGATTATTGTGTAGTTTCTATAGAAGATCCTTTTTAATGTTCCTGTCACCGGGTCCACATGTTCACTTCGTACAGGTAAGGATACTTCGGCTCCGTGAACTGGAACTATCCGGTGAATCCGGACATGTAAGTGTAAACCAATTCTTATATTGTATAATTAATATTTCAAATATAGTCATTTCCAATGTAAGTTATAAGTATTTATTCGCAGGTCCGTCTTCTTGCAATGGTTCCAGTACGCGAAGACGCAGGATTCTCACATGTACACAAGTTAGTGTAGGAACGCCAAAAGGAATATTCCAAAGCAATTACACAATGATCAACTTGTATTCCAAGCACGGCGATATAGTGTCTGGATGCGAGACACATGGGTAAGAATTATTCATGGCTATATATACATATATATTCATATACATAAATATATATACAAGTATATAGTATATACATATACATACATATACATAAATATATATGTATATACATGTATATATACATATTCATATATCTATATTTAACCCCTGTTTTTAGTTGCACAAACACACACACCTATATATATATATATATAATATACATATACTCTAAGCACACATCCACCTACACACACATTAGGTTTTATTCTATTGTATGTATATATATTTATATATATGGCTGTTCGGCCAGGTTAATGTATGGTTATATATCCAATTTTGATATTTTTGATATTCACGGCCGATTCTGCTGGTATGTTCAGACTATCTACGACATATGCTACCGAACACACTCTGGATCATTCCTATGCTCAAACTGAAGACACCTGGCAAGTGTAGGCTCCGGTGAATCTAGAATTGGGAATTCTATACCGAATAAATCTCGTAGCACAGTACACACTGCAGTGCCTTTAATTGATGGCTCGGTAGCCGTTGCATTCCAAGCACTCGGACTATCTGCGCTATCTTGTAAACCACTTTGAGTGTATAAAGCCATAGGGGTGTTTTGCTGCTTACATGCATCTCTAAGCCTTTGCTTCATACTACCGTCGGGCTTGATACTGACCTCTGTCCCGTCGCCACAAAGGTATGACCTACATTGGTCGAAGCCATTGCATTTGGGGAAGTGTTGAACAATGTGATCGGTGAAGTATTCATTGACCTTGTTGTGTTGAAAATTGTAGAGACTGACGCGGTTGGTGTGTAGGCAGTTGCTGTAGTCTGTGCGTGAACGGCAGGCGTCGAACTTGGGTCCGTAGATGGCATGTGTTTGCATAAGTCCCTTGTGGAGGCAATAATCACATCTCGTTAGTGACCCACATGGGCCTCCGTGTTTCACGGCAAAGTTTGCTGTGTCTGGTAAGGATACGTAATAGAATCCTCTATCTTTGACACTTCCTGGAACAGGGGCGTTCTTGGTTTGGCCTTGAAATGGGACGGAACCTTTTTTATCACCTCTGATACTATCAATTATATGTAAAAAAGCGATGCGGTTGATGGCGTCATCCGAATCGAACCGTGATAGCACCAGGACACCGTTGCGGCTTATGTCGAAAACCTTCTTTGTTCGGTAGTCTCCAAAATGTATACCCTCCCACTTTGTGACTGTATCTAATCTTTTAAGCACAGCCTCTCTTGCTTCAGGTACGAAAGACTCGATTTCTACCATCCGGCTTTGTTTGTAGTTCTGTGTGTGTCGCTTAAATCTACGCGTGATTGTCGCAACAGCTGCAACACACGTGGCATCGTAAAGCATTAATTCTGAATCAAACTGCCATCGTATCCGCACATTGTCATGCTTATTCCCGTGTGCGTACAGGTCGTCTATGGCCAACATGACTGATGGGACGGCTATGCGTATTAAAAGCTCACACTTACCCGTGTACGCATTGCGAGCACCTTGCGATAGCTTACGAGGGTCAGTCCCGCTGAAGAACCTCGTGCCTATCACATAATAAATTGTATTATCCTCTTCTGATTGTCGGATTGGTGCTGATTCTCTGTTCGAATCCACCTTCTGAATGGTGCTCTCTGTACTGATTATGTTATCCGGACTTGTACTCTCTGAGCTATTTATGAACTCTTGACTTCTTGTATCATCTACAAGACGTGTTTCTGTTTCGGATTCTTCCGGTCGCAAATCTGCAGACCCCGATTCCCTAACATTGGCTGGTCGATCTTGATTGTTCTGATTGTTTTCTGGAGTTACAAGTATGTCTACGGCACTTCCGAATTTAGTTGCTTGCCTCGACTGACCGTTTGAGTTATCGATATACGCCCGACTACTGGGTGCTGTGACAATATTTGGGTATGTTGTGCGGTATCGAGAAAAAGCCCCGGTAAACCCCGCACATAATGTAAGACTAAGCACAATCACAATCACGGAGAGTGCCGCACGCGATTGCTTCAACACCATACCAGCTTCACGCCACGTTTTTTTTAGTAGTATACATAAATGATATATTTATATATATAAATGAACACTTCTAAATTCATATTTACATGAATGCTATGCCGCTGTGATTGTGCGAGTTTTTTTTCTTTGGAAGATCACATGTTAAACCGAAACGAGCACAGCCTTCTATTTGTTTTGTTTTGTTCTATAACTTTTGCTAAAAAAAAAATACAATTGCACAACAAATAGCAAAATAAAATAGATGAAATAAAAAATTTGAAAATAATTTACTTCGAGAATCGAGAGTCATCGACTCGTCCTACGGTTTCTATTTCAATGTGTTTTGTTATGCAAAATATAAGAGATTTTATTAGAGATATGTAATATTTCAGATTTGAAGGTAAATATGTACAAATATTATTATTATTATGTACTGTACAAATGTACTGTATTTATTTTTGTTTTGTTCGAATATTGTTTGATTTCAACAAAAAATGATGACATCAATCCAGATCAAGTCTTCGCACAAGAGAATAGTTCAAACTTCAAGGCAAGTCAAAAAAAATATTTTATGCGTTTGAGTCATCAGTCATCACTGTTCACAGTTCAGTACATAGTTCACACACTCGCGTTCACAACTTCACAGTTCACTCTTTCCAGTCACCCAGTCATCACACTTGAAAGTTGCACTTGTGTGACACTTTACACTCCACGAGAGTCCAGTACTCCAGTAGTCCACAGTTTGCGTTCTTTTTTGTAAATAATGTACGTATTTATTTTAAAACAATTTAAAAAAATATATTCCATAGACTCAGACTTTTTGCATTTGTTCTTTTTTTAAAAACAAACCCACATCTATAAATTTGTAAGATTCAGCAGTGACACATTCTTCTGGGCTTTGATTGGTTACTCTACCACAGAGCAGAATACACTGTGCACTACCGCACCCCAGCTTTGTGCAGTTAGTCAGTCAGTAACTACTCACTACTCACTGCAGTGAGCAGTCTGCAGTTCTGCACTGTCTGCAGAGTGTGGGACTTTGTGAGTGTGGCTGAGTGTACTGTGTCAGACTGTAAGACAGTCAGACAGAGTGGCAGTAAAGTCTGTGGCAGTGTGGCTAATTGGCTATGTATGAGTAGTACTCTGTGAAATCTAATTTTAGTACGGCGCGCATACGAATAAATCTCACTGACTCACAGACTCGGTATCACACCCATAAAATCACTCATATGCAAAATACATTTTTTAAAATAAACAAAATAATCGAAAATAAAGAATAGGTAGCTAAAGTATATATATAAATATATATACATATATA